CCATGAGGTAAAATGGGAGGTAGTGCATAGCCCACGCGAGGAAGAAGAATCCGGTGGAGTTGTAGAGACGAGAGCGGGTTCCTAGCGGGTCAGTAATGAGACTTTATGGTGGCTGAACGAACTTACGAAGATCGAGAGCATCAACTCCACGACGAAGTGAAAGCTGATCAGCAGCGATGATGCCAGCAAAAACAGCCAAGAGACTGCTAGCCAACCACCAACCAATGGGGTTACCAAGGAAATAGATCTGCTGCTTCGTGTCGTTCTGGGTCCAGAAACTGACACCTCTCAGTAGGAATGGCCACATGAATGGTTCACTTGCATATGGATGACTGCTGGTCAGAGCGTTGTTGTGATGGAACATGGCCCTCTGCAGCTCGAACCATTTCTTGAGGAAAGGCAGACTCTTGACCTTCTTCTCATTTTTGATTAATCTCTTGTCACCTTCGGGAATCGAAGGAATAGAGTCAACAAACCAAATGTTCGAGCTCTGACCAAGATTCTTGTTTCCGTTGATCTCTTGCTGCTTGTAAGCCCAGTCTGGAAGCGGGCTGGTGTGGGTCCACATGGCAACTTTGCTTGGAAAATGTACAAGCTTGAATTGACCTTGAAGACTCTTAAAAATCTGACCCGACTTTGCATTCTCGATTCTGATCTCGAAGAGAGTGTCGTTTAGTCGATTGGACAGAGCGTCCTCCATGGGGACGGTCGTAAATTCTTGGTTAGTTGGGTAGTATGGTGATGCGACATCATGAGAGAGGAGGACGGTATCGGTGATCACATGTCTCAATCGCACAACTTCCATATTCTTGACTGCACGGCCCACGATGGGTTTGTCGGTGACTTGTGCGGGCAGAATTTGCCAGTGGTTGTTGGCGTCTGCATAAGGATATCCGGTAACCTGTTGTCCCTGACTGGAGACTCTGCCATCGTCGTATCTCAAAGGATACTTATCAGGGTGACTGTGGAGGAATCCGTTTGTCTCTTTGTGCTTAATTTGTATGTTGTCATAGTAGTTGATAGTGACTGCGTTTGCGGTCATGGCATTGTCGCTTAATGTTTCCTGAAACTCTGGGGACATGAAGTCGTCGCCGGGTCCGGATCGATATAGAATAGCGAAATGGACCTGGAACCAGAATAGATAGAATAGGAATGGGACAATGATCAGAGCAACAACACGAGCAGCGAAATGCTTTCCGAATTCGTACAAATCCAGGGCTCCTTGGCGGCGATTGACGTCCAGCAGACCCCACAGATCGATAGCAACCGCAGAACCAATCGTGATGAAAGCAAACAGACCAACATATTTGGTAGAGATAACGCAGCTGAGGGCGAATCCGGTCAATAGTAGCCATTTCCACCACTTGCGTCCGAAAGGCTCATGACGAAGCTTGTAAAACTTGACATAGGCAAGCAGACTGCAAGCCATAGCAAAAACCAAGGTAGCATCCAGAAGAATCAATCGGGTCTGCCCAATGTGTGCGTTGTCGAAGAGAACCAACCCGGCGGATAAAATACAGGCTGGCAGAGTGTAACCCGACTCCCACATGATCTGGAAGACCACTGGCACGGTCAACGCACCCAAGAAAGCTGGCATAGCACGATATGCCACATATGGAACCTTGTTCGTGATGTAGGAGTCGCCAATGTTTTCGAAGTGAAATGCTCCGTCGTATCCTACAAACCAACCCATCAAGGCAAAGAGCAGCTTTCCAAAGGGAGGGTGGACATCGAAGAAGTATGTCCGCTCGAGGTAGTAAGAAGCGAACTGATAATCTCCATGTTAGCAAACCATACTTCAACTCCAATGATAGCTGGCATACCTTTCCGAAGTGGACTTCATCGAATACGACCTCATTGGGATGACTTATTCCCCAGAACCGGGTTAAAAATGCCAGAAGTGTTATGATCGAGAGGGCAGTTCGAAAGTCCCATTCTGTGCCAGTCCTTATGCTGGGCCTTGAGCTTGAGGCCTTCAACAAAGCATCGAGATCGGGATCTCGAGAAGTATTGACAGCTGCTGTGATATCTTTCGTTTTGGCAGGATCTGGGTCCCTGTCTTTCCGCTTGCGCATGGAGCCAGTCTGTGACATTGTGAGGTTGTATAACAGAAGGTGTCTGGATGGCAGAATATTATTAGCTGGTGTTCGTACTTGTATCGGATAATAACTGAAACTTAAAGTCGCCTGGGAGAATGGACACTCACTTGTCCAGAGGGAGAAGTTCGGCGAAGTTAGCTTAATAGTTTGTTTGGCATTGATCTACAATCCAGATCAGGAGGCAGTTGATAAGCAGATGAATTATCTGTTGGTGAGCTGTGATGTATTATGACGGGCCGCGTAAAGGTGTTCTTTTCGAGCTCGCGTCTGGATGGTGGACTAGGTTTTAGCGGCTCAGCAGCCTGTCTATAAGGCTTCGGACGAAGCTCGAAATAAACCCTTGACTTTACGCAGTGAGACACTGCAGGACAGTTGATCCTTCACCTTTTTGACTCAAGCAGTTTCCATACATAACAAACAGTACGATAGCTCCCGGAACTTTTGTAAAGCTCATGCATCAAATGCTACAAAAGGCAGTTCGATTTCGATCTAATCTTATCACTTGGCATATATCTTGGTTTTCTTGGATACTTCTCAGGAGTAAGCTTTAAGAATAAACCAGAATACTTCAAGATGCATGCATTACGGAGGCTATCACGGCAGCTATCAAGGCCACTATATTCAAATGTCTCAAAACAATACTATAAATCTCATACTTCTGGACCGAGACCTTCAGATATGATACCGATCTTAAGCCAGAAAGCGATGCCTCGTTCGTTCAGACTTTCTAGAGAAACCAATCGATACGTAGGCTGACGCTGCTCTAGCTGTCGGGCCATATGTATGAGCGATGTGTCTCCGTACAAAATGATACTGATGCGAATAGTCTCAAGCAATCAAAACGCCTCACGCGATCTATTGCTCTGGGCAGCTACCTGCCGATTCCAAGGGAAAGCCTGTAGAAGGCAGCATGCGGGAGAAGACGAAGGCATGTCTTCAAGCACTATCGGCTGTCTTGGAAGAAGCTGGATCCTCACTCGATCGTGTAGTCAAAGTTCAGATCTTTTTGACAGACATGAAGGACTTTGCTGAGATGAACGCCGAGTATGAGACATGTATCAAGCATCGCCCTGCTAGGAGCTGTGTGGCAGTGAAGGAGCTTCCGAAGGGCGTGAATGTGGAGATTGAGGTTATTGCACTGCCTGGTCTGACTTGATGATATGCGAAAGAACCAGAATTGCATTACCCGTCTTCTGAACCCCTAATACATCAAACAGGGGAGACGAAGTACGAATGTCTGTTGGAGCAATTTAAGCAATCGGAAACGCGAATGGACTTGATCCGGAATTTAATTTCTAATGGAGGCAGACCCCATGATTCTCCTATAGTCTATCATTCTCTTACTTCGCCTCCAGGTCCAGCGAAACCAGGGCTAACCCAGGGCTCCGCGCCCTTCGATGATTTTCTCACCCACTCTTCATCAATCTCAATGCCCAATTTCGGGCCTGTGGACAGGTCTAGATACACATTTTTCACGTTCCATACCTCAGGATTCTTCGTATAGCTCGTCAGATCTTCCGTCCCTACATTATAGTGTATTCCCAAACTCATATCCTGGATAGCAAGATTGGCTGTGCAAGCATCAACTTGCACACGAGCAGCGAGGGAGATTGGACCTAATGGACGGGGTGGAGCTAGCGCAACATCTTACGCTTCACACATACTCGCAATTCACTTTATCTCAAAGATGCCTCCTACGTGACATACGTCTGGCTGTATGATATCGACGGCTCCAGGTTCTAAGAGTGGCTTGACTTCCCAGCGGCTATGCAGCCTCTCACCTAGGTCGATAGGTGTAGATGTCTGTTGCGATATAGCTTTGAAACCTTCAATATTCTCCGAGAGCAGCGGCTCTTCGATGAACATCGGTTGATGAGGTTCTAGAAGGTAGACAAGCTGTTTTGCCATGGGTCGATGAACACGGCCGTGGAAGTCTATACCTGCATCCATTCCCAGGCTTTTCACTGTCTTCAAACGATTCACATACCCTTGAAGCAATGATGGAGAGTCAAGCCAGCCTAGATCCTCTATCCCATTCATCTTCACTGCTTTGAAGCTTTGAGCTTGTTGGCCTTTGCTACACTCAGTGTCACTGAGTTTTTGAGGAGCAGTAACCTAGGTTTATAGCTCAACATCATTTGGCCTATCACCACCTATCCAAGCATACACTTTGATTGCGTTCCTAGCTGTTCCTCCCGGTAGTTGGTAAATTGGCACATCCAGTTTCCGAGCTTTCATATCTCACAGCACGATGTGAACCTGTCTCTTTGTCAGAATAACCTTCGCCAGAAACGAAAACAGCATACTCCAGACAGTGCACTTACCATCATTGTTTCTCCTCGATAAAAACCGAAGCAAAAGATCAGTTGCCATATATGCTCAATATCACTAATTCTTGTCAATTCTTAGCTCTCGTGGACATTGTAAAAGAACCTGATGTTAGACATGATCATACTCAGCTTCTAAATCAAACCTTTAACTCGTTGTGTGTACGCATCAAAACATCCTTCGACTTCCTGAGTGTGACCTTCCAACGACAACTCTCCCCATCCAACGTACCCCTCTTCGTTTGATCTTCACGACGAGCCTGAGAGGAGGGGGACGCAAATACTCTAGAAACTGTATTGGTGCCATGGCTCCTTGTAGTGTCTCGCAGTAGAACGGCTCTGATTTCCTTTCAATGCTAAGTAACTTGGACATGAATGTCTATTTTCTCCATGTTGCACCTTGTCCCCAAAAGCTCAAGACGGCCATCACTAATGAGTACCGGGACCCCCCCCCCCCCGGAGATCCCGAATTGAGGGGAAACCTCGCTTAGCCATAGCCACAAAAGCTCTCCTCCATCTTCGCCCCGCAATGAAAACTATATAAAATATCAGCCGTATCCATTGCTCAAAAAATGGCGCTTTGGCGGAGTGGTTAACGGTAAGCCTCAACTAGCTTTAGATATTGGAACATTTTCTAACACAACACAGCGATAGCCTAGAAAGCTATTTCCTTCGGGAGCGCAGGTTCGAGTCCTGCAGGCGTCGGATTGTTTTTTGACCTCCTGCATATATATATAACATTTGTTATATGAATGTTTTGCATGTTACCTACCTTATTAACTCGGCCATTCTGCTTCCAATTTTGCTTATTGTCTCTACCTGTTCTCCGTTATGTCTTATGAGTGAGGCGGCTGGAGAGATAGCTGGCACTGCCTCTCTGGTGAGCACCTGCTGTGTGTACTCTTCTCATGGCCAGAGTCGAGGAAGGAAGACAGGTTGTGCTGGTAGGTTCGAATCCTGCAGCTGCCACCCCAGCATGCTCAAGTCAACAGCGTGGCTGGTAGGACGATGGATGAACGACTCGCGCACTCAATCCCAGACGCCCTTAGGGCTCGACAACTCTCGCGCGGCTCCGGTCATAGTGGCAGATGGGATTGTGCTGGGGGCGGCCACGGGCGGTGGTCAGCATTGGAGGGAGGTGGCTGCAATGAAGTGTTCGTGCAAGCCGGCAGCAACTCCTCAGGGTTTTCCTACCTCAATACAGCCTCGGTCGAACCACCCAGGTCTCAGACGAAGTGACCGAACCTACAGGACGACATTTCACATTCAAAGCATACACGATTCTGGGAATGTGGGAGATTGGGCGAGAGAGAACGTTGTTGGGAAGGTTTTCCCCTTAGAGGATCAGGGGGATCGTGGAACCACAGTTGCTGTGGCCAGCGGAGTTGTGGCCGTAGCCCACCGAGTATCCAGGGAGCGCAGACATAGGAGGACAAGCTGGTCTCCGCAAAGCCTGATACTAATGCCACAAACAAAGCACTTCTGTCAGCGTGTATGTATGTATACGTAGATAGAAGCCAGACGGCTCAGTGGAGGAGGTTGCTGGTCACACGAGTGTGATGAAGTGTTGTGCATTTCCCGAGGCAGATGCACTTCGGCAACTGGTGCCAAAGCTGAGCCATTCCGGCATAGCTGTCTTAAAGACCCTGAAAGGGCCAAACGGAGAGCTTCTGTCTTTGTAGCCAAAATTTTAAATAACGTGGATGTACACTGAGTCGTGAACTTTTCCCCTGCCATGTCACTTCAAAACACAATTAAGCAACCAACAACATATCAAATCAACTAAAGCTATTCGGAATCTTAAAAGCTAGATATATCTATAATTATTGACAAGTTTCATTTTATGACCAGTCTTTCCGCAAGTACCACAGCGCCGTCCAGACGATTTTCCCTTGTTATTAATAGCCTCCCCAGAGCGCTTATCGCGTTGTATTTGGTCATCTACCTCCCTCTGAGCTAATAAGTCGTGTGCATCTTCTATAGTAAGTGCACCTCCTCGACAGATTCGAGTCTTTTTCTAGCTATGAGGCGCTTGCTAAGAGCTTCATTTGCTTTGCGAAGAGTACGGACTTCGGCAGTGACAAGAGTCAACTGGTGAGCTAACGACTCCGCACCCTTCGCTAACGCAGTAAACGTCTCAGAAAGAGGGGTTGGCGAGCTTCCTTGATGACGAGCAATTCGATTCTTAACCAAAGCTGTTTGCGAAAGAGCATCGATTGGGTTGCGAGCAGTCTGGGAAACCCAAAGGTCGGCATCTGCAGAAGGGGTCCAAGAGGCGTAGGAGTTTGCAACTTTACATCTAGCATCTAGAATCCCGTATTTCGACCGCGTATTCTCTACCAGCCGGAACCATGGCTCAATAGCTGCAGGAGTTTCGCACGAGGCCTTCTAGAAGTCGTAGACGCGATGAAAACGCGTCTTTAACTCCAGTTATCGTTTTGTAAATCATTGTGCCCAGCGAGTGCCGACGCGTCGCCCCCTCGAGATTCCAACATATGATTCGCTATATCTTTCTTCCTATTAGTTCTTGGCCTTTTAGCTCAGAGCCACGTGAGCTAACCAAACAACATGTTTCGGGAGAAGATCACTTCTGGGCTAGCCTGCCAGGCGGCTTTTCCCTGCGTACACTTAGAGAGCCTCGGGTTCGAGATTAGTCATGATCAGCGCACACAGATTCTCTGTAAGACGCTCAATAGAATTTCATTCATTCATTCACTATAGGGCTTAGCTAGTCCTACATATAGCACTTGTATATAGTATAGGGAATGCTTTGTTCTTCTCTGGAGAGATGTTTTCCAGTTATCCTAACCGATGTACCTGAAGGGTCCTTCTCCGTTCCAGAAACGAAATATGGCCACCAAAAGTGGTAACCTTGCAATGATAAAGACCCAATCAAACACCCAATCAAACGCTATAAGACAAGTCCTCCAGCTCTATGCCTGGCGCGCCTCGTGTCACCAATGTTGTTCATAATTCCAGAAATCACGTTACCAGGGACCTTAGACTCAGTGACTTTGTCATAGTAAAACCTTGGGAAAGCATTCTGTATATACTACTGGACGGCTACGCACAGGGATATAATTCCAGTAATGGAGTTGAAGGTATTCGACGCACGGGATAAGATGCGGGGTTATTGTTAATGCTTCATCCGCTGATGACGTTCCTCAAATATTCGGTACCTAGTCAGCCTTGAAGACACCAGGAACCTGCTAGGTGAGGGAGGTCGTGATGCTGCGATGTTCACGATATATCATGAACGGCGTTCATGTCTAATCTCCAGAGTATCGCGCTCTGAGGAGGAAACCCCACACGCTACTAGTGGCCATAGCTGTCAAGGGGATCTCCTATGACGCAACGCAAACGCCAAATTGTGCGTAGCAGTAGCTGCAACAGAAGAAACATAAGCAAAGAAGCTCTAGCTTTCCGGACATCTAATTACTGGAAGCCATTGCCGAAGCGTAGCTGCACACATGTCTATAAACGGCATACGGAATATAGTAATCACGCTCTCCGTCTCCTGCGCCAACAGATCGGACCACGAAAGGTGCAGAGCAGTAGGGAAACACGATGATTGCACAGCCTTGAATTCGGGAAATCGTACAGAGCTGAAAGCATTAAATATCACAACTTGCAGCGCAGGAGTTGAAGCATATATGAGGCTAGCCGCTGTCTAGATAGCAATGGGATTGTATGTCCCTCATACAGGATGTAGAGGTGATATAGTACCACAACTTCGATTTCAGAGAAGGTGGTCGTCACAAAACCACTTGATTGGACAATGTCAGGGGTGAATGCATAATTTATAGGGGCGTTGGGCGATGCCAAGCCAAGGTGATCGTGTAATCTTGTCGAATCGTCATAATAATTTTAAGAGCTTCATCGACGATAGAGTACCAGAAACCTCAATACTTTCTTTGGCTTAATATTCTTTACTGGTTACATGGATATCATATAGATCATACCACATTGACTTGCTCTATACAATATGCACACTATCACCCTACTACGCAGTAACGTGCGCATACTCCAAATCAGCAGGCTTACTTCCCAAGTTCGACTTTCTTCCACCACTCCTCCCAGAACACACTACGAGCTCTTTCCCAAAGCCCTCCCAAATGGCCCTCCGCCCTCCGGACCTTTTCCCATAAACCTCCGGGCCCTGCGGGCCGAGTTCCTCCAACTCCAAGCGAAATCTCATCCTGACCTACACCCAATCTCTCTCAAAACACGCGCCGAAGCTACCTCCGCACTCATAAACGAAGCGTATAACACTCTCCAATCGCCCTTAGCGCGAGCACAGTATCTGCTGAGCTTGAAAGGGATGGATGTGTCCGAGGACGAAAGCGCGAAGATTGAGGACCCGGCGTTTTTGACGGAGGTGATGGATGTGCAGGAGCGCATTGAGGAGATTGAGGAGGGCGAGTTAGAGGAAATGGTAAGGGAGAACGAGGAGAGGATTTCCAAGTGTGAGGGGAAGCTGGAGAGGTGTTTTGGGGATGATGATTTGGAGGGGGCGAGGAGGGAGGCGGTTAGGTTGAGGTATTGGGTTAATGTCAGAGGGACGTTGCATGAGTGGTAAGAAAGCATGGGAAGACATGAACGCATTTCTGCCATTTGATGTACAAAGAAGGAAGGCTTCAGGCTACAAGGGTATGGCAGATGCCTGGCAGGATCGGCATTTCAGTATGCTGGATCAGAAATGTTCAACACACGATGAATGCCAGGGACCGAGATATAAAGCCATGGTGGGAATAGATGGTGGCCTACGCCAGGAATAATGACGTCAAAAGCAGACACTGCACTCGAGGAGAGATGTCAGGCTGCCCAAAAGCTACCACAAACTCTATGAAGGACATGGGAGAGCACAATGCATAATGTATTAGTTGTGTATATTAGAAACGTACTACACTATCTCAACGAGCTCATGTATAAGTATGCGCGGTAGACGCGTACGAACGCTCTCGAGATATCATATCCAGCCTCAAGCTCCTGCAGTGCCCGCTGTCCAACACCAAACACTTTCCCGTAACAGACAGTTTGGATAAATTATCATTGGCTAGAGCATCTTGTAACTCTGTAGATGCTGTGTTACCCATAAGCATCGGGCCGTATGGACTCCTATACGTTTGCTGCACAACAGGCTGCAACCGCACAATTCCACTAGGATGCGTCGTAAACATCTTAGAGTTTTTGTATAGCTTGTTCGAAATCTTATGCGGGATTCCATGCTTCTTGTATATCCTCGAAATGCTCGCCTGACACAACCGCTTTCCAAATTGTTCATATATCGCATCTGACACCTCGCGCTGATTCGATTCTGGTTTCCTTGTTAGGATATCGAGTATTGCGCTTGCCATGTATTCTTCTTCGGGGATAGGTTTGCGCCCTGATTTCTTCCTCTCGTCGATGCCGGTGCGTTCAAGCTTCTCAATTCGTCGACGTATGTAGCACACTGATTGATATGAACAGCCGTAACTTTCCGCGATAGCATGCAGGTCTGGGTACTGATTGGCATTCCATGCTGCCCATATATCTCGTTCGATGGCGGAGACTTTCTCTTTCTTCAACGTTTTTGCCATTGCCTAAAGGTATCGTCAGCTTCGTTGTGCAGCGTTCGCCAAACTGCAATGCAGCTTACAATGTAGAATCTTAGGGCTTGGATGAGTGCTTTGTTTGGCAAGTTAAGGGAGGAAGTGAATTTCACT